TCCTCCCCAGCAGTGGCTGTACCTCAGCGGCTGCAGCAAACGCCTGCATGGATGGCATTGCCCGAAGGGTCGGTGCAAACCCTCACAGCAGGGAACATCCCTGCTCAGGCACCCACAAGTGGGGTGGGGGGGTCACCAGCTGCAAGTGGGCTTGATTTGAGCAGGAACTCACCCTGTTCCAAACCGCCTCTCCCCAGTGGACCCATCACCTTCTTCCCACCGCCAGGACAACCAGCACCCACCACACTGGGGAGCCTCCTTTGATACCCACCCCGGCAGCCCCACTCAGCCCCCAATAACGAGGGTGTTCCAGCTTCCCCACGACACGCACGGCAGAGGGGAGGGCTTCCCATGCCACCAGCCCAGCTCGGCAGCTGTGTGCAGAGAGAAGAAATGAGCCCCCACACACACTTTTGCGGTGCTCAACTCCCCCGGGAGACAGGGCTGACTTGGTTGGGGAGGCAGCGAGTGAATGCACACCCATGAGTGCATGATTCACGCCCTGATCACAAAATACGGAGATTTTATTCTCCAGCACAAAAACATAAGGGGAGCTCGCTGCCTGTGCGTGCTCTGCACACACACACGCATCCCCCTCCTGCCAGCGTGCACGCTCCCGTGAGCGGCCCCACGCCGCAGCCCATGCGTTCGCACCCACTCCCACAGCCGTCCTCCCTCTCCGCTCATGATTCACGTGGGGAGAGCAGCAGCAAGAGGAGATTTTTTGAAGCTGCGGCGATGGGCAGAAGGATAAGTCGCTGCCTACGCCCATTCTGCTCGTGTGAAAACACGCGCGCACCCCACGCGACCGCAGCCCTGGGGATGGATCCGGGCTCGTTGCTGTGGGTGGGAGAGATGCCTCCCCCCTGGCTGCCCCCACACACACCCTGGAGCCCCTCCGTGCTGTTCCCCTGGGGCAAACTCACCCCGGGGACGTTCGTCCGGCTTCTCTGGGAAGCACAAAAGCGACATGGGGACAGCTCAGCCCGAGTTCATGCGACCTGCCGCAGTCCCCCCCGCCAGCGGCTTCTCCCAGCCAGCTCGCAGGGACGATAACACCCATCAGCTGCAGCCATGGCTCTAGGAGCTGCAGTGGAAGTTGGGCTCTCTCAATTAACAGAGGTGCTCGTTAGGACAGGCGCATGCTGCCCACCGCTGCTCTGCAGGTCTGCTGCTGCGAGTCCAACCCAGCATCGGTTCAAGCGAGGGCACACCACAAACAGCCCCAAACCCCCCAGCCTCCCGCCGCAGGGACCCCCGGGGTCTCCCCCTCACGGGGCTCCCAACCGAGCTCCGACTGTTGGGAAGGTTGGCCCCAACGGAGGAAATCTGGTCCTGAATGAAGCAGCAGCTCCCGCGCAGCGAGGAAGATGGGGATGGAGCAGAGAGAGGCAGGTCCGACCACGGCGCTGGGTCCCTTGGTGAATCATTTTATTTTCACTGCTGCGGAGAGTAGGAGTGAAAAATATCTTTAAGTTGAAATCAGTCGAGAACTACATATGTCTCTAGATATATCTGTACAGTCTACCAGTATATATACACATTATATATAAATATATACATAGGGTCTCCGGGTTTAAGGTTGAAACCTGTCGAACCCAACAAAGCCCACTGGAGGAAGACTTTTCTCATGAGCAAACAAGCCTGCATTAGCACGGGGGGGGTTAATGAACCTTCCAGTGCTAGGAAGGGGGGAGCACCCAGCTGCCAGGGCCACCGGGGTGTCCCCAGGCTGCGGGGAGCATCCCTGTCCCATTCCCGGGGAGCAGGACACGGTGCCCTTCTGTGCCCATCTCGGACAAGGGTGGCTGAACACAAAGGAGGTAACGGCTGGTTTCTTTGGTTTATTGCTTTAATACTTATTTCAATTGGTTGGTTTTGGGTTTTTTTTCCTCTTATGCTTGGCCTTAATTATAAATCCTGAGAATCAGGAAGGAAAAAAGAGAATAACCTGCCCTAAACCCGAACACCCTATATATGCAGGTACAGCTATCAAAGAGGGAAGCGATACATGTGAAAACAGGGAGAAGGGGGAATAAAAAATAGCTTTTCCAAAAGAGTAATTTTTCCCTTTTCTTTCCTCTTCTCTGGGGGAAGTGGGGGGGGGAAGCAAAACCAGTCATGAGTGTTTGGTTCAAGAAAGCAACGGAGTAAAACTTCCAGGAGATGGGAGTCAAGGCAGGAGGGCAGAGGGACTGTGAGAGCAGAGCAGAGATCTCACAGGTCAACCCAGCCCCAGCAGAACCCGGGTTTACACCCGGGTCAGCGTCTGGCCCCAGGTACCCAAATACAAAAGCAAATGTCCTGCTGGCACCGCTGCAGAGCGGCTGGCTCTGCTCTGCCCCCGGGGGGGGGTCCTGTGCCCAGGGCAGGTCACCAGCATCAGGGTCGCACGGCTTCGGGTCCTGCCTGTGTCGGGGAGGGCAGGATTTGGCTGGAAGCAGCAGAGTGCGGCCGATGCGCTGAGCCCTGCGTCTCCGCAGCGTGAGCGGGGGAAAGATGCAGGATGCTGGGAGGGGGCCACGGCACCGTGGACTGATGCTGCCGGGGGCAGCCTGGGAGGGATGAAAGCCGGGGACGGGGTTTCGTCTTGCAAAGGAGGGTGTGGGGAAGGTGCAACCCGCCCAGGGT